CGAGCTTCTACCTTCTCTATGAGCTATCTTGCCCATTGCGGGATGATGGTCTTAATTCGGAGACGGTTGTTGGAATACGAACTGGGTGTGAAAATAGGGACAGGGATGAAGTGGATTCGTGTCGTGATTGTGCGACGTGGAAAGGAAGAGAGATTTTAATTGGCCTTTCAATGAAATCGGCGAGGAATGGGTAGCTGAGATAAACGAGAAGGCTGAAAATGGAGTGCGACTTGTTTCGGAGTCGACATATCGACTGTTGTTTCGCGTGGAAATTTTGTTGATACGGGGCAATCGAGGTTTTGTCACGTTTCTACGTGAATGCGTATTTTTAATATAACTTCGTTTAACGTTAAACCCACCAGGACCGGTCAAATGATGAGAAAAGGGAAAATGAGAGTCACGCAGTCAAGTGACCAAAACGATAACATTAAATGCGAACTTTTAGATCAGAAGTTTAAAGATGATCATTTGGGTCGTGGTAGGATTAGTGTTAAATTCATTATATTTCTCGTAAATTCGCGAGCATTTAAAATGGATTAGTTTGGAACATACTGTGCAAATACTATGTCCCAAGTTTCACGCATTAAGAAGCTTAGACTTGTGCAGAAGAGAACGAACCAAAATTGCGAGAAGAGTAGAAGATCCTTGGTTCCAGTAACAATAAGCGCAACGTGTAAAATCCATTAAGCTTAAAGAGATTAACGAGATTAAAGGAGATCTAACGAGGGAACGTATCCAATCCGCATACCGAATTTAATGAAATTTATACGAGAGATAGTTCTCAAAAAAATATTTGACGCGTACTTTTTTCTATTAGCCATCGTCTATACCAATATGGTGGAAACAACCCCCAAAGTTAGGAATCAAAGACGTATATATATTTTGGAATATCTCGAGAACCAAAAGGGCTAGAGAAAAAACTTTTTCTCCTAAATATACATTTTGAAATGAAGGAATGTAACTACGTACAAATTTTAAAGAAATATTAATTTGTTTAAATAATATATTAAAAATTCGAATCTTTTTTCACATTTGTTACGCTAAATCTTAATCAAGCTCAAAATAGAGGGTACGTTTCTGCAATTTTTCAGTTTTATCTGCAAGTCCGTCAAATTTAACGTATGCAAGTTGGATACGTTCCTTGTAAGTTGGTCGGAACTGTTGGTCGTGAAATTGATACGCGGGGATCGGCCGCGAAATTCGTAATCCCTATTTTCGACGCGGCGCGTAATTACGCGCTGGTTCCGTTGCGACACGCGGGTATTTCCGTGGTGGAAGCTGCGGCTCTAAAGCTGCGGATCTAAAGCTGCGGCTCTGAAGCTGCACGGCGTCGCGACGCAGTCGGAGAGAGTGTCCATCGTGCGTTGGACCATCGACACACTTGCCAGCGAACTCTCACGAGAAATAAATCGATGATTCACGTTGGTCTCGCAGGCGATGACTCGTTTTTCAGCAGACCACACACGAACTTAGAAAAATGTCGCGCATCTCTGATGAGACGCAGTTGCTCCTCACGGATGACATAAATGTCACTTTTCTCGTAATTTCGCGTCCAACGCTCGCTGCTTTCGTTCTCATTAGCCTGTATTGAGTGTTCAAACGAGGTAGATCAACTTGGTGCTCGTAGACTGTATTATTTCCTCTTTTACTCTTTTCTTAGAGAGGGTAGTATGGTTTTCGTGTTTGGGTTTAATGAAATTTAATGGCGTTATTCGTTGTCAATTTAGCGAATGAAGTTATCGTGGGTAGGAAACTTCTAATTAGAATTGTTCGACTGATTTAATTAGTATATTTTTGTTTTACCCCCTAATTAATTTAAAATTTGTTTTAGAAAACATTAAGTAAATTATTTTATCGTTTTAATTAGGTTAACGCGAGGGTACTCTCCCAATGGATGGTATCCGAGTGTGGACAAGCTACACTGTTAGATCATTTGGGTGTGTTTCGTGCACTCTGGTGATATTTGTTTTAAATAGGTTGTTTGCCAGATTGTTTGGGTGTTCCCAGTCGGACTTTGCATTTATTCGAGAAGCTTCCAATTTCTTCTTTTACTATTTTAATTTTTAAATATCCTCGGAGATCCTCATTACGGTTGTACCACGTATTGAATTGAGAACGGAAGTGAGAATGTACGGTTGCACAGAGTGTCGGCAATCATGCGTAGTATCTGAAATTATAGTGCTTCAAATTGTGTGTCATATATTCATATGATCTTGATAATCATTTTGTATATGTGAAGCTTATTTTCAGGATTTTGTTGCGAATGTTTGCCCGTGAGTCAACACATTTCTTTTCTTTTCCTTTTTATTTATTCTGTTGCTTTTATATTTGCTGTTTCCATGTTTGCTTCGTGTTTAACTGCATTCCAAGATGATTATGTAAGGTAATTAATTATCAAGAGATTCGAAAATGTGTCCAAAGTATGATACAGAGTATTTCTGTCCGTTTACTCAAAGATACAATTACCGATAAACGATGAGTAATAGTCTGACTGTACGTCGTACGGTCAAGGATCCGAAATCTCGCAATTCTGCTCGTGTGATGTAATATATCTTCATCGAAGCGATGTAAGAATACACATAAATCGTATTTCTTTATCTATCTAATAATAAATCTATATCGAATAAAACGTTTCCTCATACAGTAAATCGTGTCAAGTACATCGAACCTAATAATAAATATAGCTCGAATATAATTTTTCGTTTTGTAACAAATTTATATTAAATATATGACAATTACATGAAAAAGGTATCAACCAAAAAATTGAGAACACTCGTATAACCACACGACCCAATTTTATCAAATAGCCAAAGGGTTAATCCCAATTCGACCTAAACACGCATGCCAATCGAACGGAATTCACCAGCCACGAGGCCGAAAAATTGGCATGGCACGAAAAGAAGTCACGAACTCGTCTCCGCCGTAATTGACCAAGACGAACAGCTTCGATCCACCATTTTCGCCACTCCCGCTTTCTCCATCTTGATCATCGTTAAGACCAAAGTGACGTACGATAATAATCTTCCAGCTGTCAGCCACCGACGAATCCATCCATCCATCCACCGTGACGTTTCTCCCTTAGAATCCATAGCGACGGATTCGCCTTCTCGACACCAGAACCAGACCCGATCTCTACGTAACGTCTCTTCGGTGTTTCATCGTGAAAGCCAAAAATAAAGCCACGCACAACCGCGAACCGGTCCGAAAGCGAGCTGCCATCGTCTGGCACATTGTCGCCGCGACTTCTCCGACGAAACGAGGGAAAAAGGTCACGGATGCTCGCCAAGAACGAGACACGATTGCACCGGAAGCCGGAAACCGTGGCTGTTTCGCCTCTTTAATCTTCGTAAAATCCACAGCCCCAGCGTTGAGGTGCAAATTTATCCCGAGACTTAATTTCGTTTAACTTCGTCGACCGAGTATTCCATTCTTTAACGAACTCACTGGAATTACAAATTCGATTGATTTGATCGGAAATGCTGGATTTGTCACTTCGTTATTTAATAGCTTGGCAATTTTCGTGGGTTTGGCTCTTGTTTAGCTGCTATGATATCACGAGACCTCTGCACAGTCTCCCAACTGTCTCCCAATCTCGCGCCAGTGACGTAGCTAGAGCTTATTCGCCTCTAATACGCTGGAAATATCCTAAGCATCGAACGTGACAGGAAGCAAATTCGTGACTGTCATGATGACGATTATAGATACAGTTCATGAAAATGGATTATTACTCGAAGAATAATAATTGTGAGACGAAGTTTCTGTCAGAATAGAAAACTAAGAGAACTATCTAAGAAGAACTATCACATCGAGGAATACACCTGGCCTCGATAGTGGTCGCGACAGTGACTCGTGCGACTACTATCGAGGCGTTTAGTAACGTGTTTCTCCTTCTGTTCGACCAACTCGGAAATCCATCTTACCCATATCGCAAACAGATACCCAAGCCATAAAACAAGCCACTGTACCCTGGTTAAACCAACTGACACACCGAAAAACGGATGTAGATCACCGTGTCTCGCTCGAATTTCCGTTTTTTGCTCATCTTCTCGTGGCAAATCGGCTAGATAGGAAAGGAAACGAGCAAAAGCCTGACCGGTTCACTGGCGACTGCAGCGTTATCGATGACCGTGGATGGAAGGAAGGATCGATGAAAGTGGCGGGTAAAATGGAGGAAGGTCGGGAAAAGGGGAGATACCAGGGCTGGAAAACGGAAGGATAGAACAATGAGGAATTTCTGGGAAGGTTAATTATCTTCCTATGGTTCGGAAGAGTTGCTGGAAGACTCGTTTCCGGTCACGGTTCGGGGTTGATGAGGAAGGTGGAGAAAAGGGTGGAAAAGAGCGTTTGGGTTCTCGTTGCTCGTGCATCGTGTTGCGACACGAGTGTGTGCTTCCTTGGGAATAAAATCCGACATTTTGATCGGTGTGGATAACGTTTTAAATTTCGAGGGAGAAGAGCTTGTTTGAATAATAGCGGCGAGTGAGTTATGGCAGTTTCGGAACGAAGCGAAAATATTTCAACTATAAAAATGAATATTCCGGTAATGGAATTAAATTCGAAGCTATTCGAAGGATTTTTAAAATAAAGTATAAATATCGATTAAAATAATATTAAACAAATTGCGGTTTATGAAGTACTCCTCTCGCTGTAAAAACTAACCCGGGAAAAAATATCGGATGCCTATAAAATATTTTAAATAATAAATGAATGTTTTACTGCTCGTACATTCGTACCGTGGCTAATAAAAAGCAGAGGCAGAAAGGATAGGGAACATCTTCGTTCCTTGGGACTAAATAAAAGTTACGTTGCCTCGAATAAAGTTATAAATCTCGTCATTCGAGCTACCCCAAAAATTCCTCGTCACTCTCATTTACTTTTATCAACGCAATCTGGTTCGCTCTCGTCGAGTCGTCCAGTATTTCAGCCTCTTGTGTTAAACACGGCTCGCGTGCTTTACGAGCAGCGGATACGAGATCCCCGAAAAACACGGTGTCTCTTACCTCTCTGTCTGTCATACGCGTTTATACAGTCGCTGGTCATAAATTGGCTGATCAGGGCGGTTTTTCCGACACCCCTCGCACCCAGAATCGCCACCGTGTACGAGGTGATCTCTTTCGCTGGAACAGCATTCTTCTCCTCGCTTTCGGGGTCCGCGGGTGCCAGAGAGTTCGACCTCGATCTTCGTCTTCTGAAGGAGTCGCCCCTGTTGACGAGACCTGCGACAGAAAGAGTACAAAATAAGGTTAGTCGAGAGAAATTGCAGGAAAAGTTCCTGGAAAATATAAAGATGATTTATTATGAAATAAAAATTAAGAAGGAAACTAAAAGATTCAAAAATATTCATCTCCAATATCGATTATTGGGAAGAAATTATGGAATAATAGAAATCGATGGAGAAAATTTTTGGAAGGGCTATCTGCCAAAATTGTGTATGAAGATATCGAAAATTTATAAATTTAATAAATTTCATTTTTAATATAGAGTAAGTCTAACAAATAGACTATAAAAATATTGATTATGTATTGTTTAAGGAATTATCATTAAGGAATTATTATTAAGAGAAGAATTATCGTGGATTCACTGGAGAATTGCGCGATTGAAAGTTTACCGAAGAAAGGAAAGAACTTATCTGAAATGAATAAAATTGCTGGAGTGAGGCTAACGAGCAAATGCGCAATCTGGAAAGGCAGAATGGAATTTTAACACTTTTCCCACTCTCAGGAACGAAGACAATTAAATGATTCCCTTCGGGATCGCGCTTGGAAAGCAAGAATTAAATTACATCAAAGAGATAAAAGCATTCCAGGAATTAGCATTTATGCGAATCGATACTACAAGAATACCTCCAGGTATTCGACAACCCCTTCGTTGTTTTCCTAACTGTAAAAGGAATACCATTTAATGAATCTTCGTCTTTCAAAGAACTCATTCATTAACAGCTGTCTAATTAAATCTTGTGGACCGAAATATATGATATCCGCTAATGGATATTGAACAAGCAGACAAAACATTTCATTCCAGTTGTCATTCTCGTATTGAGTCGTTTCTTAAATTTCAAGTTAAGAATTAAATACTTCGGCAATTCTAATCCCACATAAAATACGGAAATAATATAATTTATCAGAATTCCCTAAAATCTTCGATAAAGAATATATTCATTTTATCTACATATTATTTATCAATTTTAATCGTTTACGTTATATTAACATTTATAAATAGATATTATCAATGCAAATTTACATAAAATCATCGTAAACTTCTATAATGTATATTATTTTTTAAACCTAAATTTATTACATATATTATTTGCATATTATTCGTCTGAAACGATAACATTAATAGCGATGTTTAAATTTTTAAACATTCATGGAGCGTTATAAGGAAAGACGAATAGCTAGCTAGAAGTATTCGATGGAACATAAATATCGATTTCGTGGAAATCATCGAAATTCGTACTATGTACGTTGTTTTGTGACTTGTAATGAAAAAAGAGAAAGAGAAAAATAAGAAGAAAACGCGGAGCAAGTAAATAAATAAGAAGCTCCTCGTTTACGTTCAAAGCTCGAAATACCATTAAATATTCATGAGGTTATTGGTTTATCGAGTGAAACGGAATTCGTTCTTCCGTTTATTTGTAAATAAATGAAATGATAAAAATACATGATTCCCGACGCAGATTTTTGGGTCACGGCCATTCGCGTGTGCTGCGAAAAAATTCAAGGAAATAGATACAGATTCGCGTATTTCTCTCGATTTTTCTTTGTCTCGAAATTATAACAGATCCTATCATCCTTCCCGAGTAATTACATTTTATAATGGAATTATTTTAACGTTCCATCGACTGCGCACATACACTAGCAATTATCGAGAAAATTCATTGGGATCGAATATGACCCAAAAAATGAAATTTTATTACACAGCCTTGACTATTTTAAGAACTGGACTATTTTTCATATATAGTGATTTGGATTCTTAAATAGAAGACCTAGATTTCACTTTGTTGCTTCGTTTCTATTTAGCCGCGTGTCTCGTGGTAACTTTTTGGATATGTCTTAATTTCTGTCGACCATGTATTCGCGAATTTGATCAAAATTTAATATAAATTCTATTTAACAGAATTAACACAGTCTCTTAAACATCGAATAAACATGGTTGCCCTGGACCATTCTAAACTGAACAACCTGTTATACAGAACCACAGATGGAACGAAAAATTGAAACGCATGAAACGAGAAAGGGAAGTAAAAATGTAGCAGAGATGAAAAGGTTAATTACAAAAAATCGTGACGAGTAGTGGAGTAAATAATTAAACTTTTCGCTGAAATCGCGTTGAAAAATGGCTGAGAAATGGGAGAAAGTACGCTTGAAAGGGAACAATATGCATGGTAGCCAGCAATACGCAAATTGGATTGCGAACGTCCATGACGAATGGACACACTGAAATTAAACGGAACGTCGCCTTCAGCTGCATCAGTCGTCTGATGACTGACTGAACCAGTCGTCGAATAAGTCTGACTTAATTGCGGGATAAATTCGAAGCTGTCCACACGCGACGACACACTCGGCTCGTACGTGAGAATTTGCTACGTCTTAGTATTGTACACACGTTCGTCCTTAAATTATGAAATTACGTGAAAAATAATCACGATATACGATGAGATCGAGAGAAATTCATTAAGAGAACATTACAATGTTATTTCTAATTCATCGATTGGGTATTTAAGGAACAATGACATTTACATACGTTATGTTTTACGTAAAATTTTGAAAACATCTTATGACCGTTTTTAAAATTTTCGTTAAAAATTCCGCATTTAACATTATCGTCTTGATTACACAGTTACATGTACTTAATCAATTTTACAAACTTTCGCTTCTTTTTCATTCAACGGACATTTAATTCATCATAAAACTCGAATAAGAGCCGGAGTGAAAAAGTGACTGTAAAATATAAAGTAAATACGAAGTACAGAGTAAAATCCGAGTATAAAGAGGACAAAAAGCGTAATCTCTCGCCTGGCTGGCAGTTTTGCCGAATTATAGCGGAATTTCGAGCGGCACCTGTTGAAAATGGGTACATCGAACATTTAACGACGAAGGAATTGCTCGTAATTGAATAGAGGCTGTCGTCGGCACAGAAGCGTTACGAAGTAAAAGTCGATATCCACGTGTGGTCCTGCGAAATGCGCAGTTACAGGATTTCAGCGCAGAAACGGTCGGTCGATATGCGTAGAGATTCGCTAATAATATTGCAACGTCGTTGAATCGGTTTGCGTGCGTCTCGGATTGACAAGGAAATTAACGAGATGGGACGTCCACGGGAACGTAAAAGTCAGCCGACGTTTCATTCCGATGAAATATGAAATCCCGATTTAATCATCGTTGTATTAAAAATTACCGTTTATTCCTTTACTCGTCCGAAGAGTCTCGGCTGTTGAATCCGAATCTCTTGGGTAACAAATATCGATAATGATTTGGAAATATCGGTAAACTTATATCATTGTGTGCCATGTGTCTGGAGAATTTGTATGCGCAAATTTGTAATAATATTTTAAGACTATTGAATATTTTATAATAAATGATCTTCATACTCTTTGAGGTTATATTTTTGCCAATATGGTCTGGATAAGTTCCCTGAGAAAATTATTTATATGATAAGTTTCGATGGAGTTATTAGCGTAGAATATTAATAACAGAATGATCCGTGAAAACTAACGAGTCAAATTCGCTTAATTCGATGTTATATATACTAGTGATAATAATATACAGGATTATCATATAAACTTTGAAATTGGATTCTTGGTACATATCGAATAACAGAACCGTGATTTCTGATAATCCACTCTGTAATCGATGCAAGCATGTTCTAAAGATCATTATTCAAAAATATATTTGGAAATTTAATGAAGTGTATATCTAACTTCGCCTACAATATCATGCGAGACTCGTGGTAAGAAAATCGGGTCAAACATGGGTCTCACGGGTGAGAGACGTGGTTTGTAGACAGGTCCCAATGAAAACATCACGGTTGTGTTGTAACCTGCTTGTTGAGAATTTCTGCCGATTTTTTAAGTTACTATGACTCGTGCCAGCGGCAAAGTTTTGAAAAATTCGAAAATTAAACACATACAGATACGGCACCTACTAAATAATTTCCACGCATCTCGTATAAGAAAGTGCTCATTTTTCTAGGCTTTTTCAACGGTCTCGTTATCGAAACGAGACAATGCCAATTATCCTGGAGATTTCTGGCACGTGTGACTCTCATTAAAGTATACGCGTTTCACGAGAAAATAGCAGCATTAATCCCAGGCTGATAGTTATAGCCTAGTTAGACAGAATTTGCATCACGCTGTATGTATCGACGGGTTTGCTCGCGATAATGACTTATTGGGAACATGGTTTGTACACAGCGAGTGCACAGAACACCATGAAACAGACTTCTGTGGAAACAGAAAAGTAGGTTAAACCAATCTAACCTGTAGAAAAAATACCTACTTTAAATTACGCTTTCCTTAAAAATTGAAAAATGAAATCCAGACGCCATCGAGTTTAAAAATTTAAAAGCTCGATAATTTAATAATCCGAGAATTTCTCGAGTACTCGCGATTAAAATGCACGTAAAAATTTCGCCATCTAAAAATCGAGAATGACGAATTTTCCGATCTCTTTCTCCATTTTCGAGCGAACGCGATGGAATATATAGATTCTCGTTTTCAAGGTGTTGTGGAGAGCCGGGAATGTAAATGGAAGCACAGAAAGAGCGATGAGTAGTTTCTTAGGTAGTTTACTGAATTTTGCACACGTTCTGCTCGAGCCTGTTGAGGGAAAGTACTTCCACAACAGCTTCAGCTTGATGTCTAGCACTCTCTTGGGTTTACAACGCGATCAATCGCAGTTAGAAAACGTAGACGTTGTTTAAATTTCACGCTTTGGACGCTAACAATCCCTCGAAATTTCTTTCACAGATAGAAAATCTAAATTAAATGGAGGACAAAATTTTTTAAACTTCCAACTTAATTAGAGTCGAATAGAATTTATCTTCCTCATCGACCAACGTATACAGAATGAAATAAATAATTTTTGCGGAATAAATGTCGGATATTTTTATTCTCCAGCAATGCATGTACCGCATTATATTTAATAAATCGACGACCGTCAAAAGCTTTGTTAAAATTTCCTGTGTCACCGTTAACTTTGGTTACGCGCAATTATTA